GAGGGCTTCTGCGCCCCGTTCCCCTCGGGCTCCGCAGCATCCGTGCTGGCCCTCTCAGGGTGTGAGGACACCTCTATATGGTGCTTCTGCCAGCTTTTTATGGACTTATTATGTTCTCTAATCCCCTGCAGGACTTGCTGTCTGTTTGTGCCTCCCCGGTCGCGGCAGTTGCCACCTGCCGTTTGAAGATAGATCCTTTTATGTGTTTTACACTGTTCCCTACTAGTTTTCTGGAGTGCCCTCTAGTATTAGTATTGTGAGATGTGGCGAATAACAATTGCACGTTCAGCTCATGCCCAGTGTTGTGTTCAAAATGTTGTGAGTGTTCAGTGCAGGAGCTGCCAGCTTTCGCCTCTCCCGAGTGAGCAGCCTCGGTCCGTTTGGGTGTCGGAGGCGGATGCTGTGTCCCGCTGAGCATTTTAGTTGTGTCTCACTCATACAGGTTGTCACACCACAGCGCTGCTCTTAGAGCTCTTAGAGGTGCGTAATCTGGAGCTGTGTGCTCAGGATGTGGGTATGGCAAAATTTTACACAGTGCTAAAATGCTGCCTTCAGTCTTGCTCTTAAAACCCTTCCCGTTGGTAGCCAGTATTCGGCTGCTGGTGCCCATTGACTGATTTTAGTGAGCTGACACTGACAACTAAAACTTTTCTTGAATTCAGAACTGTCAGTTCTGAGTTCGTTGCCATGTAGGCTCGGCTTTGTTTGTACGTTACATTTATGTTCACTGAAGCTCATCTACATAACTTTCACCTGCTCACTCAGTTTTCCACAAGTCTTCTGGCATTCTTTACCCTTATAATATTTGTTCTCTTGAAGGGGCTTAGAGTCATCAGAAAGTCAGATTTCATTCTTCTCCAGGTCATAGATGAAGACACTGAATAAAATCAGTCTCAGCACTGATGTCTAGGGACTTTCATTTATACTGAAGAGTCCACTTAGCCTTATGCTTTTCTCCGTAGTCTCTTAAGCAGATGCGAATCTGGAACAGAACCTTTTTGCTAATCCCGTGTCAGTTCAGTCTTTTTTAGTCCCACCTTCGGTGCAGGGTATTATCAAAAGTTTTTTGAAAAATTTGACTCTGTCCACTGGATTCCTTTATCCATCTGCTTATTGACATTTTCTAGACTCCAGCAGGTTAACAAGGCAATATTTTCCACTCGTAGTAATGCCAACTCTCTGATGAAAGATTTTATGTCAGGAAGCAGCAAGTGCCATCAGCTTCCTGAGAGCAGAGTGTGGTAACGAGATGGACGTGGATAGTGGCTTCACCATTAAAGGACCTGTCCCTAATCCAGTCAAGGTGAGCAGGGCAAGCCTGGCCCTTGTGGCCTGCGGGTAGTAGCCAGAGTCACACACAACCCTGTGCAACCCAGACATACTCAGCGGCCTGACATTGTGTTTATCTCTTGGCTTAGTTATTTTTTAATTTTTTTCTACTTTTTTTTTTTTTTTTTGAGAGAGACTTTTCTGTCTTTTCAGGGGTGGAAGTCAGATTTACTAGTCTGCAATTCCTGAGTTTCCCTCTAGAGACCCGTTTTCGGTTGGAGCTACACTGCCGGGCTGCCAGTCCTCTGGCAACGTGACCTTACGTGATGGTGGGTTGCACACCTTGGCCAGCAGTTTTACAATTTCACATATGAATTCCTTCAGGGCTCTTGGGTGAATGCTAGGCCAGTATTGTAGGCTTACCCTCATTTAATTTATCTTGTCTAATATTTAATGTATAATTATTTAAAATCAAGTTTGGTACAGGTAGTGGGTTGACTGTGGGAGTCTCCCTGTCATCCACAGCTGTGACTGACATAATTACGCAGCTCCTCTGATGTGAGATGTCCTCAAGTGTCCTTCTTTATACTTTTCTCATAAAAAAACCCCATACTATTTTAATGTTACATGGGTTTTTTTGCATAGTCTTTTGGCTGTTTCAGTCACAGGAAGACTTCCCAAGATGGCAGAACTATTGAAAGATTAAATTTTGCTCTTGCATCTGGATGAGATGTTGTAGTGATGAGATGTTAAAACTTGATCTTCTCAGAAAGTACCTCGAAACTGGATCCCATGAGAGGCTTTAATGAAGCACCTCTCTGAAGGATCTTCCTCTACAAAGTTTTTCTAGGGACTGAGAAGTATGACTGTTTAGCCTCTGCCTAGGTCAGAATTTTGGTCCCAACCTTTGAAATTTCAGGACAAATTCAGGTGGCTTTTTTTTTTCCTCTATGATGACCCTAAGATGTTGAAAGCATCTGAGGAAATTGCAGTTGGTGGGGTTTTGGTCGTGCTTAGCTTCTGCCATAACTATCTATCCATATCCATTGTAGAGAAGAGGTGAATAAATACAGTTTGCCTTTCTAAGCAAAGTTACCGAGTAGTAAGAATTGAAATGTCTCTTTTCAGACATTTCAGAAAGGTGTTTTCTATTAACAAATCAAGTCACAATTTTTAGTTATTAACACACTGGAAACCTTATGGTATTGCAGCATTTTGAAAACTATTCATTTGCACATTATAGATGCATTAGGAACTGCCTTGCTTCTCTCTGTTTCAGGCTGTTACTTATATCAGTATTTAACAACTGTATGTTAAAATAATCCTTCAAACTCTTCTTGGAGCCTTTGAGGACACACTTTTAAGACTTAATTCTTAAAACCTAACACTAGTCAAAAGTTAGCCAAACCAGCCAAGGTAAGTCTGGAGATTGAATGTACTGAGCAAGGGAAAGGAGTTGGAAGTGCCAGTCGGGGAATTGTTGCAGGTTTTGCTTTACTCAAGAGCTTTATGTTTCTCACCCTAAATTTTTGTTTGCATGAGTCCCCCCATTAGTTTGAAAGCAGTGACTGAATGCACCACCCAGTGGCTGGTGGTATATCAGGGTTACTTCTGTTTGATGACACACCAGGTCGAAATTCAGGAAGCTGTGACATATTTCTCTTGTGTTTTTTGTGCTGTGGGAGACATGTTGCCAGACCCTTTGGCAGCCAGCTCTGACAGAAGGAGTTCATGGAGAAACCATGAAACAGTAGTCAAGGCCTAGACTGTTCTCTTTTTTCTTGCCAAATTACTACTGCCTGTACTATGCTTAGAGCTATATACTGCAGTATCCCACAGCAAAATGGAACCATCTTTTCCCCATCCACTCTTGGAAAAACTGCGGGATTTGACAAGTGCATCCTAACAGCTGCTCTACTAGGAGCTGCTGGACAGTCATAAAGAATTGACCTTTGAGTAACTCTGGCACATTTCATACTTTTTCCCCCTGAATTTATTATTTGTAACTGATATTATTAATTTCTCACACTTTCTTTTTTTGCTGGTACTTAAAATCAGATAGTATTTTTTTGTTTTGTTAGAGCAGCCTAGGTTCTTTTCCACCATTTCTTGAAAAGCTGACCTCAGCAAAGAATGAGGGAATGTGTTTTTCCTATCTCTTATAGCAGTAAGCCCGTGGAACAGGGAAGGGAACACTAGTAAAAGGCAACGGCTCTGCAGCTTTTGAAAGCAAAAAATAAGATGCTATAAACCACTACTGAGGAAAATGCTGAACAGCTCACCTCTCAGAGCCATGTGCTGTGCATGTGCATGCAGTCATGCATTTACCTCCAAAGCTGAGTGAAAGGCGAAAAATGTTGAGTGTGTAGTATTTGTATTGAGCTGTGATGCAGTTAGGTTCAGTCAGCACCTGTTTTTTTTTCTCATTGTTTTAAAATATTTCAGAACTATTTTTGTCACTGTTCAGTTATATTTGATTTTGCACATTCAGTGGCTTCTTTCAGTCCTTTCCAAATCCATACCTTTTAGAAGTTCCATGTAATATTATATATTTGATTAAAACACTGTCTGGCCAAGTATGGATTTATTCAAAATGAATGCCCATGATGACCTAATACCGTAGCCAAGCTTTGTTTGGCTGTAGAGATCTACAGAAGTCTGTCTTGGCTTTCCAAAAATACAAGCCTTTTGTTCCATTATGCTCAGTCTTCTGGGGAATTTATCTGTTTGCTTTGCAAATGCTATGTCCAACGCATCACTACAGCAGTGGCGTTAGGAACATTTGATTCACTTGGATCCAGATGACTCATGAGCTCTTCCTCTTAATCTACCAGTGGACATACTGCATGTGCTTAGCCAATATTTAAATTTTTCCTAGCTGTTGTTTGTGTGGGTGGACTAATTTTATGAGCTAAAAATAACTGTGAGTGTGTGATGCTGAGCATTCCCTGGCAAAAATGTTGGTGATATGCTCTTCTGCTTGGACTTGGGCTGTGCAGAACTGTGGGGCAACGCTCCAGGCACGTATGTGCAACTCGCTGCGATAGCGGTAGGAGCATCTGTGAAATGCGTGGTACTGCTGTACCTTTATCATATGGAGAGAGTAACTTGGGAGAGTTCTGTTGGTAGAAGATCCGCAGACCAAAATCTGGCATTCTTATGTTCAAAGAGTTGTGTAAGTGCTGCCAGGGTTACCCCTAGGCCTTCATAGCTGTGTCTATGCTAGATCATCTTTCTGGGAGTGGGTGGGTTGTTAATGGAGAGGTTTTCACTTGCTAATGAGACCACAGCTGTGGGCAAGAGTGACTTTTGAGTTTTCATGTTTAATACCTCTGCTGTCAGAAGACTGATCTTGAAGATGCACCGTGGGGCCTGTAGACTGTTAATCATGTGGATTTGCTGGGTGGACTTTAAACAGTCCGTGTTTAAGGTAAAGGTGGGAAGATAGCAAAATGTGTTTAGCAAGGCTTTTCTAGATGAATATGCAGCCCCATGGTAATTGCTGTAGAACCCAGAGGACATGCTGAAGGGCTGTCTTTATTTTCTGAGGAGGGTGATCATTAAAATGATCAATGACCATAGTTATTTTGGTATCTTGTTTCTGCTAACAGATTTTAACTATAAAAAAAAAGAAAGAAAATATTGTGTTCTGGTTAAGAAACTTTAGTGTTCAGAGCTGTGGAAGGCATACTAAATTCAACTGAATTAATCCAATGAATTAAGAAACAACCCTCCACCCTTGAACATTAATTCAAAATAAGCCTTAAATAAATTCATTGTGTGTTCTGAGAGGGTTGATGGCTTCAGCACATTGAGAACAATACGGTATCGAAACATTATGTTTCAAAAGAGTAGGTACAAACTGAATCTTGATTTCTGATTGAAATAGGAGATGGAATCTAGGGTGTCTGTTTGGTTTTGTGATGCCTGTCTCCGTGTTTTGGGTGACATCTTTGCACATTGCCACTGGAGCACGACAAACACTTTTTAGTGGTATATAAGCTATGCTATGTCTTTGACCTACTGTAGTAGGAAATACTGGAGCGTTCCTCAGGAACTTCTTTTCTTACCCAAACTGTTTGAAACTCACAAAGCATCTTCCACAAAGTTAGTTATGTAGAGATACTGAAGGTGCATTGTGCTGTACAACACACAGCTGTATTGTTAATGTAGTCTTCTGCAACTGCATGGAGAATTAATAGATGCCTAAATAGAAGAACATTAATATGTACTTGATCTGTTCAGCTTTAGGACAGCTGACTCTGCTTAATGTTTAGATAATGGTGAGCGACTTCCTTTGTCCTACACTGCAGACTGTTATTTAAATGGAATCTTAAAATAGAGCTAATACTGGCAAAGCACAAGTATCTGTTTTTTATGACCCTTTGGGTTTGTATTAGTTCCTTCAAAGCATTCTTTGTTCAATGGCTGCTCACCTCAGCCTCCTGTAACGTAGTGTATTTCTTCGTTTTGTTCATCTGAGTCAAGGTGTTCCAAGTGAAAATGCAAAAACGAGACCAGAATCCAGGTGATCTCCAGCTGTAAGGATATATTCAGATTCCTTATTAAGCAGAGTATTGCTTGCCTGTAAGCCTTGTTTGAGCCAGAAAATAAGAGAAAATTTACCTAGTACATGCATATATACACAAACACATGAGGGCATTCCAGTTCATGCAGATGATAAATACCCTGAAAAATTTTTGTAAGTGTAAAGCTAATCTTTCCAGAACCAATCATTTTGCTGATAACAAATTTTTCTATTTGTACGTGGAGCTAAACATTGCACAAACGTCCTTAATGGATCTGACTGATAACTAATGAGAACTGCATCTTAAAGTCATACTGATACCTCTTATTCTCATCCTGCTGATTTTAAGAGTTTCTCCTGTGGACATATGTGTCTACGGCTGTTACGGGAGCTTGTAGAGAAGCTCTGCAGTAGCATGAATGTAAAATTCATCAAAAACATCCCGAGGCACAATTTTTCTCATCTTCTTGCAAGGCCACAGTAGAATTGACTTCTCACTGCTAGCAGTGATATATAAAAGCATTTTTATCACTAGAGGATGGAGTTCACAGAATTTAAGACATTGGTCTATCTTCTGTCCTTTTTACGTCTGTCAGAATTGTAAATATACCAGAGTAGTAACAGAAGAATTCTCAATCATTGAGCTTTCTTTGCCCGTGACCTGTAAGGCCACTGTTTAATTTCACCACAAGTCATTGTCTTTGGTTTGGACTGTAGAATAGAAGACTGGAACGTTGAAGACATGAAGTGGCGCCAGAGAAGATAGTTAATGATAGCTAGACTATATTGTGATCTGTCCTTTATTTCATCATGAACATTCAGTATTAGGAAAAGACTTGAAAAGAAGGGTTGCAAATAAAGAAACTACTGAAGAGATCTCTGTGTAGACATGTACTGTCTCGCTGAACATCTGTGGAAGAAATATGAAGTAGCTTCTATTCTGTGGTAGTAGCATCTGGATAAAATTTTAAGTAATTTTCCTTTTACTCTGACAAAGATCATGAAAGAACTTCTCTAGTTCATCTAATTAAAGATGATTTAATTTGTACATAATACCAAAAGCATCAGAGGAGCAAGAGCTTAATTATTCAGGAGGCCAAACATACAGTAGTATATGTAGATTTTATCAAGATGCTACTTTTTAAGCATCTTTTGGAGCTTTATTGCCTTAACACAGAGGCACAGCAGTGATCACAGTACCTCACCCTGCTCTACAGAGCTGCTAACAGAATTGAATAACATGGCTTGCACATTTTTTACCCTATTTCTTACGGGCACATCGTCTTTGGTGAAAAGTTCATGACAAATTGTTTACTTTGCTTCGAGTGCTCTAACAGGCTCTTCTTGCAATCAAAATAGCATTGCAGCCTGACAATACAGCTTTAATAGTAATGTTGTTTGAGGAAAAAGGAGTTTGCATGGGATACTTGGAGCTCTGGAATCCCTCTGTGTGTGTGCATGTGATATTTATGTGACCTTATCTCAGAATACGCACTGCACAAGTTTTTGATCTCACTAATGTCAGTTACTGCATGAAGTTATTTCTGATTTTCATAAATATAGATGAAATCAGACTTGGGAGTAATATGCATAGTAGCACGAAATGCCACCGAGGGCCAGATGATCAACTGCTCTGTAATGGTATTGACCCTCCCAAGGGCAATGAAATAATTCCAATTTGTGCAACTTAAGTATTGAGCTCTAAACTTTATTTACAGTGAAATACACAGCCACTTCTGCCTAAGTACAAGTAACCTGCAGATATCTGACTATTGCCTTTATGAGTATCCCAAGCTGTTTGTACATTTAATTTCTTTTTTTTTTTTTTCTCTCTTAGTGTTGGAGCACTTGTGGGCCTGTCAATAGCAGCAGTGGTGCTCTTTGCTTTTATCATCACTGTCTGTGTTCTCTGTTATCTGTTTATCAGCACGAAGCCACGTAGCAAACTGGATACTGGTTTAAGCTTACAGATGGCAGGTAAGACCAGTTGTTATTGACATACATTATCTCCTATAGAAGAAAAGCCTTTTTCTGTCTTTAAATGGATATGGAGGGATCCAGCTGGGTGTATTTTCTTTGTGATGGGGCCCTCGAGATGTAGTCAAGTTATCCCGCTGTTTCACCTTCTGAATGAAATCTATACCAAACTGAAATGAAAAAATTTAACTCAAGCACAGCACATTAGTAGTAGGAAGACTTTAAAACTTCACAATGCTGAGTGAGGGTGCAAAAAGTCTATCAGGAAGAGGTTTAATGAGTCAGTTGCTCTGGATTTCCTGTCAAGAGTACATAAACGTGTAGTAGCGACTTCATTCTAGAATTAAGAATCTCAAAGGAGATTTAAAGTGTATTTTCTTGTGACAGGTAGAGAGCATTCTTCTTCTTTATTCCTGACAGGATCTAGTCTTTGAAATCTAACACTCCTTGCTTCAGTCCTAATAGTCCGTACCTTTGCACACAAAGTGTGTCGATGGACACCTGCAGAAGCAGGGCGTGTTGCCAGTCCTAGCCCATTGACATGGGAAAACTGTTGCTGCCACTACATTTCACCACATTTGTGAAATCTGACTGCAAGTTTTGATGGCGGGAAGAGGTGCGATAAGTTTTGCCCTTTGTCTTGGACTTCCTAAATGTAGCTTCAGTTGTTCAACCAGTGAAGTTGTAGGAAGTAAAGGGAATGTTGTATTTATTTAGGCTGTAGAAGTTGAACAATTTGAAAAGGTGTATAATTCCTGGAGAAAAAGTCCCCTCACCTGGAATTATTTTTTTTTCTAGTTTTTAAAATGCTTCCATACCTATATAGCAATAAATGACTGATGAATTACTGTAATTATAGCATATTATACAGGAGTGAGACTGAGTGTCTAGTTAACACAGTCCACTTTGTACCAAACTTCGTATGTCTTGTTTTGTACCCCAGAGGCTTTGGTTTAAAAGTGATTTATAGGGCCATCAGGAAATGCAAAGCCTCCCTTTGGAGCTGTATGAGCTGAGCAAGCTGCTGAAGTAAAAGTCACACATTCAGCACACTGCTACTGACCTGCAAATTGAAAAGTTCTCACCTGTCCTGGAGAGAAAGAGAGAGTGGAAATAAGACCTGCTACCTGGAACAGCCTAAATAAACTCTTGGGTGGGATGAACAGAATGCCTGGTGATCTTTTACAAGATGATTGTGCTCTAATTAAATACTAGCATTGTGCTTTTGAATGTGCTCCTGTTTAACTTCTTCCCTCAGGTTTTCCTGCTACAGCATCAACTCTTAATCAACTGCCAGGACAGCAGTGTTATTTTTCTTGTGCTTTGTATTTTTGTGCCAGACATGTTTGGGCATATGAGGAGCTGGGAAGGAAGCAGGTACTATTGCACCGCTGCTGCAAATTAATTCCATCTTTTTCTATAGGCTCGAACCCTGCTGCAAAACCACATCCTGCTTTGGCATTAGAGATCATTCCTCTCTTCCTTATCATGAGGTGAACAGCATCCCAAGATCCCCCACTAATGACCCAGCATTCATGTAGGCATCCTGTCTCATGATTCCAGGAGCTGAGAGATCTTTGCTTTTTCCTAACCATTTCCTGTCTATTTTGAACTTTATTTGGATGGTATTGCTTTGTATTTAAGCACTGTTTTGACTTTGCTTTCAGCTTGTGTTTTTCACTTTTATTATTCTGGTTCTTTGGCTGCTTTGACTGACAATTACTTCCCATCTAAATTCTGATAGCTTTAGCTGGTGATGAGGTGAGTTGCCAGAAATTGAAAGTCAGTCTCTTTGCCGAGGTTGATAGATATTTGAAAATGTTGAAGAATTTTCTTGACAAGCCTGAGTGCTTATCTTTATCGTACTTGAGTTTCTTTTGCATGAAAGTCATGCGTGGTCTGAGTATATTACGATATGACTGGTGAGCAGTTTTCAGGCCTGGGCAACAGTAAAAGTGGCCTCTTTCCTCCTCTTTCACCTTTTCTGGAATTTGAGCGTAATCATATATAGGCAATAGAAATGGACTAAAAAATTAAGACAGTTTTTAGAATATTCAGAAAATATTAGGCCTGAGGATCACGTGTTTTAACTGTGAACTGCTTTTTCTGAACTAGCGTAATCTCGCCTCAAGATGAAGGTTGTGTCGCACATTAGATGTTTTGCACTGTCTGTACCCCTGGAGCATTCAGAGAGCACTCCTTTATGAAGGAAATATTTTTTTTATTCCATTTCACCCATAATATATCAGCTCAGCTGGAGTTTTGTATTTCATTAAACATACAATTGATTATTGTATGCCTTTCCTCCCTCATGTAATAGTCAAAATTGGTCATTGTTCTGTGGGCTCCTCCAAGATCTCCTAAATATAGAAGTGGAATTGCTGAATTTTTACAGAAATAGATCGATCATAATTCTAACAATAAACTGGATTTGTGGCCTCTGTTAAAGTTTCCTGTTCTGCAAAATGTATATC